GCCCGCCCGGAGGGGTCCGGGCTCTGCCCGCGCTGAAGGCGCTGCCGCCCCCGGCCTGACAACCCAGCGCCAGGGCGGACGGAGGGGAGCGGCCCCTCGGCCACCCCCGGCCTCAGGCACCCGCCGGCCAGTTGCCGGGCGACGGTGAGCTGCGACCGCCTCGGCCAGAGCTGGAGATGCGCTACGGCTCCGTTTCGGTGGTGGTCACGGGATGGGGGGGGCGAGAGTCAAATCAGCTAAGGGGTGTTTTCGTGTTCTGTTAGCCGGGGAGGGGTCATTAGTCTTGTCTGGCCGGAGCGTACAAGCTGTACCCAGATCCGATTACCGCTTTGGCAGCTGCAGAGCCTGTGCTCACATGACATTTTCAGACGTCACCCCAAAGCAGCCCGTGTTTACGAAGGCTGGAGTGCTGCTTCTACAGGATTACAAATAAGTCCCGTGTCTAAATGGGAAACGTACAAGTATTCCTCCCAGAAACACGCTGCCTCTCGCTGTCACGTAAACAACATTCAGCACAAACATATACTTAGGCTTAGGAGAACTGTCCAGTAATAATGCAGTGATTGTAAAGGAATATAGTACTGAAGTCTGTGGAAAGACAGAGCGATTTGTAGTTGTACCTTGATACTTCTTACACAAATTTTTTATTTTGGACTTATTCATAGGCTCAACTAATGGATGTGAGAGAACGTCTTTTGCATTTTTGCGACAAGAACTTCCCGTGAGGTTTGCAAACATCCTGAGAGAAATTGAACTTCTTCCTGATAAACTACTAGGCACTCCATCAGTACAATTAGTAAAAAGCTGGTAAGTAAGAACTACCGGAATTCAGCCTGTAAAATAACATAGCTTTGACAACTTGGTTGTCATAGACTTTTTTGAATAGTAGAAGACAATAACAAAGTACACTAGAAATGTAGTTCCTTCATCCAAGCTGAATTGCAAGTTGTTATAAACTGTCCTTTTTTAGCATACTAAAATTAAATTGAAAAACAACATACATTGTTATTTTTAAATAGTTTTGGTTTGGTTTTTTTTAACAGTTTGAAATCGTGAGATTTGCTCTACCAGCTTTCTCTTTAAGAAGGGAGAGAAGAAAACGTTTTCTGTTTTCACATAGCATTATGGCCCCTCAGAGCTACATAAAAATGGGAAAGCAAGCTATATACTTGTTTGGGTCTCTCACCGATGGAATTACTAACAGAGCTTCCGTTCCATAGCATATTGCCTTGGCCTGTGCAGCAAGTGTTTGGAATTCAGTTAACACAATCTCTGCAGTTCACACAGTGGTTGAATCTGATCTAACCTTGCTTTACTGGCACAGTTGCAGCACTTGCAAGGATGGCTGACATAAAGGGCAAAAGCATTAGAGTGAGATCCAGAAACTGTTCTTAATCTAGCAAACAGGTGTGCCTTTGCAGTATGCGTCAAGGCTGTCAGATGTTGGCACAAGAGGCTCAAGTACTTAGCTTGTGCTGAAGCTGATCAGATTTGGAAAAATTTTGCTTAGGTGGCTTCCTGATCAGTTATTGTCATTTGGACCTTCTTTTGAAACACCTCTCTTCTCAAGAATTGTAAGGGGATACTACATACCTAAAGTGAGGGTTTAGATTCCTTTCTGGGTGGCAGGCACAAGAAAGGACTTTGAAAACTTACAGGGTTCAGGCGGTCAGGAAGTGTCCATCTGTGATTCTGTACTTGGATGGAACTTTGATTCTTCAAAAATACTTCAAACTTCTAGCTGACTTGTTAAGAGTAATGATTTGTGCAATAAAGTATTTTTCCTGTTCTAGACTAATAAGAATCAAACTAACAGCATATATTTCTTGTTTTCTTTTTCAATAGGTACATCCAAAGCCTAATGGAGCTGGTTGAGTTCCATCAGAAAAGCCCAGAAGACCAAAAAGTCTTATCTGAGTAAGCTTTTAATTTGTTTCTTTGAACTTTTGATCTCGCATTCCACTTTTCACAATGTAGTCAGTTTAGAATGACAGCTGTCATGAGCTGAATTTGATAATCTAGCATGAGGTGCTGTGCGTAGAGCAAGCTGGTTTAAATCTGATCATGTTTAGCAATGTTGCAAATAAATATGACCCCTTGCACCTTGGTTTCAGGGCCATACTACCCCTTGAACTGTCATGACAGAGAAATATCAACAAAAATTATCTGCGATGTCACATCCCTGCTTCTCTCCAAGATGTCAGCTAGGTGTCTTTTTCCCTTCCTCCCATTCTCCTCTGCTCAAACTATTATGAGTGAGTAAACAGGCAGTGAATTTGACATGGCTAATGATTACTCCTTTTGGATTAAAAATATCAAACTCTTCTGGTTTAGGTCAGTGACGGATTACTTTTAAAAGAATGAAAAAATAGACTGTACTTTAAGGTTAAGGTTGTTATGCACTTATCTGTGCTGCTGGTGGATTAGATAATGACATTGTACAAAGCTTGCCTCCATGTAGTCTTAGAATAATGTTCTAAAACGATCTCTTTTTGACCTAGCTTTATAGATACATTAATTAGAGTCCGAAACAGACATCATGATGTGGTTCCTACAATGGCACAAGGAGTAATAGAATACAAAGACACTTATAAAGTAGATCCTGTCACCAATCAAAACATTCAGTATTTTTTGGATCGTTTTTACATGAGCCGTATTTCTACACGGATGCTAATGAACCAACACAGTAAGTAGAAATTTTTACCTGAGGAAAAACTTCAACCTAGTGAGAAACATGTTAATGTAAACATTTCTTAAAACCATTGGAGATCTGCCTCAGATAATTTTGTGTGACACTGAAAAGTTAGAAACTGAGTGTATGACTTACGAAAGTAATGCGAAAACTTGTTTTCTGGACTACAGACTAATTGTATTAAGTCTTGTGCGGAATGTGCAGGGATCTCATTCTTTACATCTGAAAAGCCTTTAGATGTTGAACTACAGAAAAGCCAACATAGTTTGCTGGCAGTAGAAAGAGTTTTTAATTCACAAAAGGCACAAACAACACTCAGTATTTTATATGTGATTATGTGTTGTGATCACACTGAATTATTCTAAATTTAAGGCTTCTTTAACATACAGTATTTGGGATTAAATACCATATGTTTTTCATTTCAAACAGCCCTTCTTTTTGATGATAAATCTGGCTCAGGGCACCCAAGGCACATTGGAAGTATTGATCCTTGTTGTGACGTTGTTGAAGTAGTGAATGGTACGTATTCTCAGAGCCTTAACATTTCTCTTAGTGATCAGTATTTACATCTTATTGCAAGCAATTAGGGTAACCAACATGTGTTGTATAGGATGCTGACTGTTTTTTGTTGAAATAGCTGAAAGCAGTCTATCAAAACATGAGCTTTTATAGGACAGAATTTAAAATACAAAGCACCAATTAGAAATGTGTTGGAATAAGGCCTAGCAAGTGACAGATGAAGTGGGAGTTAAAGTTGTCTGTGGTGTTGAGATCGGCCTTACCTACTGATAGATAACAGATGTGTCTGTTTTACCAAATTATCAAATTGTTCTGAAGATTTGCCCATGCTGCTGTAATTGCCTATTTGTTCTCAGTTTTTACTGCACATAGTGGATGCAATGTTATCATTCCTTTGAGACACAGGCTTAGAGTGTTCCACACCTTAGCAGCTACTGCAGTTAAAAATCATATTTTGCCATGCATTAGAATGAATTTCTACAGTTTTTGATGCTACACTTCACATATTTTATTTCAATAAATATTTCAGATGCTTTTGAAAGTTCCAAGATGTTGTGTGACCAGTATTACTTAACATCTCCAGAACTGAAACTTAACCAAGTGAATGGTAAGATGAGAGCTTTTACATCTGTCTTCCTATTGGTAGCCAAACTGCAGCTTTTACTGAATCAAAAGGCTCTCATTTCTGAGCCATAATGGTACATACCAGTTGATCTGTCTTTGGCTAGTTCCTCTTCATTTTCTGTTACAGGCACCTCATTTAATCTCCTGTGTTAGAACCCAAATGTCAATGTATCTTAAACACTAGATTTCCTGAGGTAACATTTAGGAATTTGAGAGAAGCAAGACTAACCTGTACTTAAAGTAACATAAGTTGCTAGAGAGGAGCTCTGTCTCTGGGGTGAGGAAGTGGGGCTATTGACTGACATACTGGTTCTGGTCCAAGCTGCCTGCATGTGTCTGACCTCAGGCAGTTTGCTTAACCTCTGAAATTCTTTAATTATAAAAGGGAATTAATACTTGATTTTTTTTTTTTCAGTTTATTTGAAACAAAACTGTTATTAACCAAGTGGCAATTACAATCTAAACACTGTCAGGAGTGCATAAAGTTGTTCGCTCATTTTAGAGGGGAAAAAAAAACAAAACTGAAACTTGGTTTATTTTGTTTGTTTTGGCATACGGCTTGCTTATTTTAAAATTTGGATACACTACAGAAAAATTCCATCACCCTTTTAAATCTTGCTTGTATTTTTCCCTTCCTCTAGGAAAATTTCCAGGAGAGCCAATTAACATTGTATACGTTCCATCTCATCTTTTTCACATGCTTTTTGAGCTCTTCAAGGTAAGTCAGTACAAGCTTGCTTCTTCCTTTAGTAGTCTGAGCTGGAGTCAATACTTAAAATCGCTAGCTACGTCTGAATGAAGTAAAGCTCTGCATAGGACAGTGAGATTTCTAAAATTTTCTTATTTGGGGAAATAGCTTTGGCAGTTGGGAAAGGAATGATTGCAGTTTGTAGGAGAGTATTTGGATGCTTTCATGCGGTGGTAAATGGGACAGGGTAAGGGAGAGAGAGTAAAAGTGGGACATGGGCTTGTGACCAGTGCTAATCTTCTGCTTTTAGTGGTTACATCTGTGGTGCAGGTTTGCTCTGGTGCCTTTTCTGTGGAGTGGGTGATAACATCTTGAAGTAGTGAATGGGGCTGAACTAATATGCTGCCAACACGGGGTGCAGAATTCTGGCAGCTTTTAGCAACTCCCGAACTCTGCTCTTCTCCAGAAACCTGGATACTTCTAAGGGACTTATGTTAATTAATTTACATTGGCTGAGTTATGTTGGGCAAGAACAGTGGTAATCTTTCACACATAGAAGAGTCTTGGCTATGCTTAGTCACTTTTAGGTGTGAGGCCTCCTCTGCTCCTGTTAACGCTAAATTGCTAAGTGTGTTGCTTAGGAACTAGGCACTGATAGGAATAGAGGGTAATGGTGCTCAGCCTCTGCGTAACACGGGTATGATTTTAAGTACATAGATCCAACACTGATAATGGTAACCTTCTTTTCCATAGAATTCAATGAGGGCAACTGTTGAATTCCAAGAAAACAGTCCTTCCCTTTCTCCAGTTGAAGTGACAGTTGTTCTAGGACAAGAAGACCTGGCAATTAAGGTATTTTGTTGGCCTACTACAATATGGGCTTAATGTAATCTTTATGATTTCATATGCTGCAGCAAATTCTATTAAAACAACTTCCAGCCTCTGACAACAGATTAAAGATACTATGCATGAGCATTCTGTTGATAGCCTCCATTTAGCACAGTTATCTAACTGAAAAATAATATGCTGCAAAACAAATGTTTGCATTTATTACTATTGGGAAGGTTTGTTCAAGCAACAGCATTTTAAATACCATTCTTAGTATGTGATTGTAGTTAACTTTATTCTCTCAAATCAGATCTCAGACAGAGGAGGCGGTGTTCCAGTAAGGAAAATTGAGCAGCTGTTTAGCTATATGTATTCCACAGCACCAAGGCCAAGGATGGATGATGGTCGAAATACTCCTCTTGTAAGATATTTTCAATACTCATGTTGCTAATAAGGTTGCTGTAAGTGTTGAACAGATTGGTAGGTTAATAAATAAGGAAATGCTATGTCCACTCTACTGCTTTGTGGGGTATGCAAAGATTATTGAGCCTCATAAATATGAATTAACATTTTCTGAAACAGATTTTTAGTATCTAGGTTAGTGGACAAAAATATGCTCTTAAAGATATAAACAAAGAAGAACATTCCAACCTGAATCTAACCCTGTTTTTTTCTTATACTCCAATGACAGTAATTTACTTGGTCTTCACTCCCATTCAGTCCTCAAACTTATAAACTATGCTGTCTTTATGGAGGCTAGCACAACTGGAATAGGCTTAGACTATTGTTGTTTATCTACCAGTAGCAAATTTCTTTTACTAATCAAGCTGTACTTGCAAAAACGGGGGAGGGAAAATACAGAAATGTAATGTGTGAAAGTGGGATATGTATATAAACCCTCCCTCTTCCATGGAGATTTGTTGGGTTTTTTCTTTCTTGTGGTTTTGATTTTTTTTAATGGTCAGTTTCAATATTCTATATGAAACTGAGTAGACATGTCTGTTTTCTTTTAAGAGAAGAGGAAGTGCAAAGGACTTTAACACTTTAAAATCTCTGAACACTCTCCAGCTATTTAATTTTAAATCATAAGAGCTAGGAAAAAAATAAATTAATTTTGTCTTTTACTTTATTTTTAGGCTGGCTTTGGGTATGGCTTGCCAATTTCTCGTCTGTATGCCAAATACTTTCAAGGAGATCTAAATCTCTACTCCATATGTGGTTATGGAACAGATGCTATTATCTACTTGAAGGTATGTATTTTGATTTGGTTAAATAAAAGATAACTACCATTAATGCAGTGATGTAACTACTCGGTATCATTTTAAGGTAAACAAACTCCCTGCTCGTGAGTAGAAAAGCTCCCATTTTTATTAAGAAATGCCAGTAAGATTTGTAACTGGTATCTAGAATTAAAAAGGTCACTTGGCTTTAACTAGTCTACTTGAAAAACTACTAGCGAGAGCCCTGCTTGTTTTCAGATTGTATTAATATTTGTTATCTATTGGTTCATGGAATACAAAGTGCCAGAAGAAAGTGAAGTAACAGAAAGGTGTGAGCAACACATCTGGTTTCTTTACTGTTGTTTCTCTACTGACAACCAGAAAGTCTGTATAAACTAATACTTAAAGACTCTAGTATCTGGTCCTATTCAACATCTGCTATGTAGCCCATATATGGGATTCAGATACCAGTAATCTTGAATACCTGGCATATAACATGCACTGCTGTTTTTATAAAAAGTAACCTGGAAAAAAGGGCTACATATTCTTTTCTACTTTCTGTGCTTACTCATGGGAAAAAGTTGTTTTGAATTTCTTCTAGTAAACCAAAAACATAGTTCCAAGCACACTGAAGCACAACCAGAGAAGCAGTACAAAAGGAAGAGACAGTTTGACTATATATGTGTTACATCTGTATTTAACAATTTCCCAATATAATATGAATTTTTTTTAGCTGCAAAATATGAAAGTAGGAAAGGAACATATTTTAAAATTTCTCTGGAGTTTGGTAAATGAAAGTTCTTTTCCATGTCTTCCAGGACTATCTTGAAACCAGGTTACAGGGTAACTCTTCAGGCCTATAAAAAAATGCATAAATATGATTTGATGTTACTGCATTTGTACTGCCCAATTATCCAAAGCAAACATAGATACTGAAGCAGATAAACTACTGCATCTATTGTGTAAATAACTTTGGTTTGTAGTGTCACTGGCTTAACACTTGAAACATACTGCATGAATTTTTGAAAAGTGGCATTATTGAGAGGTAGAAACCAAGTAACATTTTTTCCTTCTTGATTTTAGGCCCTATCAACAGAATCAGTAGAAAAACTCCCAGTTTTTAACAAATCAGCTTCCAAGCATTACCAGGCTACCTCAGAGGCAGATGACTGGTGTGTCCCAAGCAAAGACCCAAGGGATGTATCAAAGCAGAGTGCAGCTCTCTGAAGAGAAGTTGGGATTGAGGCACCCATGGGGATCAAGCTGGCTTCTCAAAGACTAGTGTTTGGAAGTACTCGTCTACCTCCAAACAAAATTCTTCAGTTTCAGGACTGGCAGAAGAGAAAGAAGGCAAGGCTGTTATAGCCTAGGCTGTATGCACTGAATGTGAAATCTTGCTGTGGACTTCAGATGAGGAAAATAGCGCGTATGTCTTTAAAGAAGAGATGTACATAGAGGAAAATCAGACTATTTTTCATACGATCAAAGACTTGAAGTGGTAGAGGTGTGCAATTTTTGAGTCCTGTTTAATGCTTGAATTCTGAATACTGATAAATGTCAGTTATGCTTGTGTATATTTTTCTTCTAGAATAGTTATCAGTGGTTCATCTTATTACAGAACTTCTCGGGTAATAGATAACACCTGTAATTTAAAGCTGTAGTTGTAACATTTGGAAAAGATCCATTTAACATGGCAGTCTTGTAGCAAGGTACAAACAACATTCACATACAGCCTGACTGGAAGGGAGGGAGCCCTGGGAGGTAGGGAGAAAGTGTTTTCCATATATATAAGGAAGTCCTGTTTAAGAAAAAACTCTATTCCAGTAATAATTCTTATGTGATGCCTTGCTCTGTGAGTTACATTGCTAGATTTTTTTTAAGTTAAGCTGTTCCTGGAAAAACTAGCCAAGTAAGGCTCCTGTGCATAAGGTAACTAACAAAGAAATCAGGATATTTTCAAAAGCTACTGGAAAGAAATGGAAAGCTACTGGTTATAGCAGCTATAAGGTTAGGCTACATCTAGCCTACATCCCCACACTCCAGAAAGCATGTGCCACGTAAGTCAGTTAGGATTTTCCAAGAACTGAAGTCAGACATGCAAGTTGAATGGAAAGGTTTTGGTGATCTGTATTATGTAAGCATGATGTGGGAAGCAGCATGTGTAAAACATGGTCTCGTGGTTCCTTTTTGTCATGCTGTTAGAAGATTAGTGGCTCAGTACACTAAACCAAAATCTGCCTATCGTCTTTGTCAAATTTGTATTGGACCACACCAGCTCAAAGAGGTATATGGGGGTTCTACACCCTGAAAGCTGTGATGAGCACTGAAGGTCTGTTTGAAAGGTTTTCAGGAAGAATGGTCTTGGAACAAGAATTTCATTCTAAGAACTGTTCATTGCAATGGAAAGGGCTTAGGAAATGAGAAGTTTCGAAATACAAACAGCACTGAAAATGATAGAGTAACTTCTATGAACAGCAAAATAATGGGGAATTGTCACAGGAACAGTGCCAGTGGGAGAGAGCTGTTGGGAAAAATAGTCCATTCCTAATAAGCTTCTTCCTTCCCCATCTTTCTGCATTTTCCCCCTTACAAGCAAGGTAAACTTAATGACAGAATAGAAGTTAAACTATTGGACATTGCCAAACTGGCCTGTCAAAGTTCACCAGGGCTGTATAATATTACTTGATTTTTTTTTTTTAACTAATTAGCATATTAGCTTAAGTGTCTATGATCCTTTGCAAGAAGTTGCAAGTACAGTATTTAAAGCATCCTGCTCAGCTGTATGGCAGTTTTCTAAACCAGATTTGTACTTGTTGGACAGAAAGCCACTCCATACCCTACTGTGAATATCAAATATTTTTTAATAGAAACAAGAGAAAGCTGGAACTACCTTTGTGTTCTAAAAGTCCTGTTGGGATAGATTCCTCCATCAAAAATAAAAATGTATTTCATTTCTTAAAAAATAAATTTAGAAGTATTGGTGATAACTGCTGAGCACAGTGACTTCAGTACTGCATCAAGGCTGTTTTTATCCCAGTGAATAAGCTGCAGTCACCAGATCATGTATCTGAGATAAGCTCAGTGAATGAAATGGATAATAAAAGTAAAATATATTTGTCTAGAATATACAGGTGTGAAAAAGCTGCCTTCACTGCCATAATACACTTGAGTGTTGAATACAAGGTTACAAAAACATACCTAGGTAGTTGTTGTCAAGTAAGCACAAATTATACCTCTCTGTCTGCACCCGGTAATGCTTGAACATGAGTTGTGATCTCATGGTATACTGTACATCTGTAACATAGCTGCAGCTCCTCCAGGTAGGAGCTGTAACTTCTCTCTCAAAGCAGCTGAAGCACACGGTTCCTGTAAACATATCTGTAATGTTGCTTGCAGAGAGAAGCTGCAGAACACATTTCAGGATGCAGACAGAGGTATGTATAGCAGTTAAGGACCCCATGTGGAATCTCAAGTATTAAAAATTACTTAAGGGCTATCTACCTAGATAATAGAGGACCTCTTTCAGCATTTACTGAATTTTTATTCCTGAAAGTAAAGCTGTAGTATTAAGCCTTTTACTTGGATGTAGATGTTTAAATAATTTTATAATAAAATCTTCTAAATGGTTGCCTAGCATCTATTTTCTTTTAAGAAGTCTAGTGCAAGCAATGGCCTTTTTTATTTTAAGTCTTGCCAAGCAGAGTTGAGCAAAGCAACTTTCATACTGTTTCAAATAGATGTAGCAGGGGAGAGAAACACTGAAACAGTCTGCTTACCCTTAATGTAGTTTATGTAGTGCCTAAAATCAGTGCATCACCTCACATTACCTTTTTAATTAGGAAGCATTCATCTTCAGAAATGAGACTTGAGAATCCTTCATCAGTGCACATTCTACCCTCTAAAATACCTATTTTTTGTTCAGCTGTAAAGAAAGTGAAAATTCATGACTAGTTTTACATAAAAAAAGACGTCCATCATCGAGTCTATATTTAACAAATGACTTTTTCCACAGACTAAGTGAAAGCCTCTCTTCCAGCTCGGAAGCAATGGGACAACTGGCTTTTAATAGCTGGTTTGTAAGAGAATAGTAGTTACCAGACAGAACAGACTGTGCCATGACAAAACAGTCCTGTACACCTGGTGCTTTAGCAGACTTGTGTTTACCTGGGAATGTCCTGCATCTCCCTTAATTTTAAGAAGATAGAATAACTGTAAAAATGCATGTAGGTACTTTACCTGAGAGAGAAGAGGTAAAAAAACAGCCAGACTCTGGGAGTCTGGCAGTAAATCTACAAGTGACAGTCTTGTGTGCCGAGTTTCCCCTTCTTAATGATGTTTTTTCATCTTAACAATGTTTTTTCACATGTAATGCCAGGGAAGCAGATCAGATGGTGTAAACCTTAAGCATTTTGCAATTACAGAAATGTACCACTCTGACATACATCAGTATGTCAGGTGTGTTGGGAGAAACAACCCAGAGCTAAAGTACACCAGGGACTTTTAACAAACTACTACAGAAAACAAAAGAAAACCAACAACAAAAACACCTGTTGTGTTTTCTTTTCCCCATCCACCTTTACTGTCTTGCAGTCCCTAGAGACAGGACTAGCACATTTCCCTCCAGGTTCTTCCAAGCAGAAATACATATACATGCATTCTATACCTCACCCACGGCAGGCTCAGGAGACATACAGGCTGCACGTGGGAGCCAGGCATGCCGCAGACGTGGCAGGGATGCACCTGACTCGCTGTGCGGCCCCGTGTCGAGCACGCAGCTGCAGCAGGCAACGTGCGGTCTCTCCGCAGCATGCTGCTCACAGGCTATTAGTTCCAGCCAAGCTCCTGCAGTCCAGAAGGCATCAGAAGTTGAAATGATTTTTTTTTTCCTTCCCCCGCACAAACCCAGTGAGTGACAGAGGCCACGCACCTGGTTCCTGATTCAGCAAAGCACTGGAGGTACAGGACAGGCTTGCTTCTAGCACATCAGAGGTTCACTGAAATCAGCAAGTTTACTCATGGCTAAAAGGCATTCTGCTTTTGCAGGAGATAAGCAGATGTTGCACTTTCTCCCTTTGCCCCCCGATCAGGACGTTACAAAGCCAGCTTCCTGATGTCAACAGAAACCACGCCAAAGCACCCTATGTTTTCTCTTCCAGATCATTAGCTAAAATGCGTACACCGATTTTGTTAGTGGTGCCTTGGGCACATGTCCAGACTAATCTTCCCAGAGCCTTGATAAGCGGTTGTTCATTATCATCTTTTTCCTATCACTTAACCAAGCTTTCAAATCCACCAGACTTTGCCCTTAGCGTGCAATAATGTCCTTCCAAGAGCATTATTACAAAACAAGCTTTGCTACCTTTGATAAGAAACACCACTGGACTGGAAAAATAGATTTTATTTTTTTTTTCCCTTACAGTAGTGATGATGACTTGAGAGGATCAGGTTATAACCCCCAAGAATTGTCGGCCCTTAAACTCTTGAGCAGTTTTGGCAAACAGAAGGCAGAACTTGGCAGTTTATGATCCCTTGTCTCAGCTAATTTGGAGGGGTGGGGGGGAGGAGATGGTGAAGAGCAAGGGCCACACTTCTGGGTTAACATCTTTGGGTTTGCATTCCCCAAAACCTGGCAACCTGATTTTAGATGCCTATATCCCAATCCTGTATTACAGGCCCTAAGGTGGCTTTGCACGTCTGTGCTGGTACGCACATTCAGGACAGAATGACTGGCTCAGTACCTGGCCAGATGCTGCTCCTTCTTGCAGTCAGCAAAGAGAAAGCAGGACACCCCGGCAGGCAGTCTCAGTCGGTCCTGCTTCTCTCCACTCACCTCATAGGGAGAGAAGGGCAGAAAATCCCCACGGGCAGTCTGAATTCTTCACTGCAGTCTCGAATGTTGGATGGCACAGCAAGAGGCTGGAACACAGTTCTGGGTCTTCAGAATATTCTGAGGCTTCTTAATAATGTTATATTTTTATATAAGTAGAAAAATATGTATGGGGTATCAGGAGCTGCTCCTCACCAACTTTCCTCAATATTCCTTCTGCAGCTATGAAAGAAAACCAAAACAGAGTGCAACAAATTGGCCTGCATGGAATTAGCACAGGTTATCCTGTGTCACTCCCTTGTTTTGCAGTTCCTAGCAGGATGAGGCAAGAAAATAAAGGACCTACCTGATTTCCTGCTGTGTGAGGGGGACAGCCTCGAGGAACGAGCCTCACGCTGCCTTCCTGGAGTCATGTCCAGTTGAAAACCCAGACAGACCTGTGATGCGGGAAACAGCAAGAGGAGTGACCACCACTCCCACCATTTGGGGCTGCAGAGCATTCTCCTGGAAGGCAACAAAGAGTTTCTATTTTAGGACAGCCATACTTGAAGTTACGTTAATATGATACATCCAGATATGCCCTGTCTGAAAGGCTCCAATAAGAAAATCAAGTTAAAAAAGATAATTGTTTTCATTGTTGTTTATAGGTTGGGCTTTCTGTACTGTGTCACATTAGGGGACCGGGCCTGAAAACTGAGAACCTTGGTGTGGGATTCAGCACACCAAGTACGACACCTTATCATGACACTATGTACGTGTCTGTATGTATGTGCCAAGGTGTGGGTTGGATATCTAAGCTCCCTCTCATGACCAGAGTCGATGTATCCAGAAGACCCCAGAAAGCTATCAGCTCCTTCTGAAGCAGACACCTACTTCTGGCCAGCTGAATAGGTCTCCTGCCTTCAGTGGCAGAGTTCAACTGACTGTGATGGGACCATAGACACCTGGGGCACATGTAGGCACCTGCGTTCAGATGGCTTCAGCTGTGAGCTGCCTCCCAGCTAATACAGTTACCTAAAAATAGACGCCTGGTGCTATATGAGGAACCCTGGAGTACTCCTCCTGTCTCTCATCTGTCACTCCAGAAGACCAGAGATCTTCCACAGGTCCTTTGTGACATCTGCCAGTCCCATGCAAATACCTTGTATGGACCCTCTTGGCTTTCTCGAGTATCAGTGACTGTATATGTTTAGGTGAATGACTCAAGTCCCCTTACTAGTTTTGGGTCATTGCAGGAGGCTGGAAATACAGAGCTCAAAACAGCGTCACTGCTGTGTCATTGCTGGCCAGGGTGGATAGGTAATGGAAAATCCCAGACAATAATTACCCTGCAGCAAATGCCAGGGGGATCACTGCAGAGGAACTGGGTGGCTGCTGGCACAAGCTGTGTCAGCCTGGAGCTGCCTCTGCGCAGCTTGTCACCACTGGCTGCATTTCCCAGCATCGCAGGTCTTTCTGGGTTTGGGGCTGGCCATGGTGCCACACGACCGCAGGAGACAGCATGAGGCTCATCAACCGGGGCTCTGCACCCCACAGGGCAGCAGTGCTGCCCAAGAGCTCCGAGCCACACTCACTCTGCCTGGGACACCCAAATACCAATTACTGGGCAGACCTTTTACAGAAAATTAGGAGCTAACTGTAGCTGATGCTGGTTGTTAAATACCATGAGGCATACTGAGAAATCAGATGCATTGAAAGCTGTTTTCTGAGTGTTTAGAGTGGCTTTCTCTTCCTAGCAGCTTTACCGTCCACAACAGCCCTGGTTGATTTTTAACAAATTAACTGGGAAACAGGGTGGAATACCTGGCAGGGATACTTGTCCTTTCCTCCAACCGCTGTGGCACACAGCACGATTAGTAACGTGTATTGCAAAGGGTATTGGTGACCCACAGTCACTCCCCTGCTTACAAAGGGTATTACTGGAGGAATTCAACCTTCATGCGGGGGTGGATCAGATGGTTTATACCACTCTGGGTAGTAACAGACATGTGTCATTGCTTCACAGACCATAGGAAGCTGTTTGCTTAGGCATAAAACTGAATTTGTGTTGACACAGAAGCACTTGTTTGTGCTTAGTTAGGACCTGTTATAAAACACTCTGAACTCACCGGACAATTTTCCCTTGCTTCAAATCAGTTTTGCCTCAGGTTTTACATAAATATGTGATGAAGAAAGCTTCATTTTCAAGCTCTGACCAGGGACATTCCATTTGCTTTGCCTCTATGGCCTTGCCTTCCTGTTCCTCTTTTCTTCCTACTCCTGCTGCTGGTGCACGCTCTGAGCATATCTTCTGTGGCTGAAGGATGGGAACAGTGCTTTGGAGCACGCCACACTTGCCAAAGCTTTTGATGATTTTTGTCAAGGTCACTGGATGATCAGTTCACTTGACCAAAAAAAAACCCCATCATAGCACCTTCTGCATATTCCCAGGCTTCTGTCTTTTGAATGACAACATCCATGTCAACAGCTGGAAAAAGGGCAAAACTATTCACTGGAGTGCCGTAATTTGATGCAGGCAGACCTTGGAAACTATATTACAGACATTAGTATTCAGGGCTGACTAAAAGAGGTGTTTTCATCCTTCTCCAAAGAGTTGTCCTTGCCTTCTCCTTTGCTCTACAGCAGAATGATACTCTCCACCTGTGAGTATTGATGTTAAGGGAGATGTGTCTTGAATTAAATCTGCACTATTGCAGTCAAACAGAACAGAGAACTGCAGATCCTTCCATTTCTTCCCA